GATCATGCGTTGATAAATTTTTTGGTAATGGTATAGCATCTCGTTATCCAATCAAATCTCATTCAAATTAAGTATCATCTTTTTCATATCAAATTGATAGTAGATCTTTACTTCAATGTCGTTTAACCGGTGATCATCAAATTTCTTACTGATCGAATATTTGCTGTAACACATTTCGATCATTTAAATGAAGATGTTCGATTAAATCAAATAAAAGAATTTAATCCATATGAATAAAATATTGATATTTTAATGGGTGATATAAATGCATTAACAAGAGAAGATTATTCAGATGATTACTATCAAGATAATATTATTGAAATACGACAAAAATCTCAATGGGAAAAACCTCGTTTTGATTTGACAAATTTAATAAGACATGAATGGAATTATGAAGATGCTTTTAAATTAATAAATCCAACATTAAAAAATAAACAAATATCAACATGTTATTATGAAACACGTATCGATTATATATACATACGTCCCAAGAAAGACGATCAATGGAAATTAACAGAATGTTCAATTATTGATACGAAAGGAGCTACTGATCATAATGCTGTTTTCGCTGAGTTTAAACAACAATAAAAATAAAAAAACATATTATATTTCTCTATTAACGTCTTGCATGAAAATATTCATTAGTATTTTATGTTCACAAGAATCAAAATGCAAGAGATGTCATATGTCTTTCATAGTTAGGACCTTGATTTACCGAAGAACAAGAGAAAAAAAAAGTGAATTTTTTTTTGCGGGGAGCCGTGGTTGAATGGGGTACGTCTCTGACTTGGATCCAGAGCGTATGAGGTTCGATTCCTCCTTCCCGAACAAAGTACACTGTTTAATCATATTGTATAAGCTTACCGGCTATTGTCTTACTGTACAAACAACATGTCTACACACAACGTATGTTATCTCGGTGGAATGTATGTGCACGTTGAAAGGGCGTGTTTCAATTCTTCGTTGAATGGCCACATAAGACATGCATTATATTCCGCTCTTATCTTTCTCTGCTCCGCTTATGCTTGCTTTTCTCTCTTATGTGTAACCTGTTAATTGTAAAAGCTACACTGTCCCTTTAGGACCAACATGATCGTGGGGTTTTCATTGCTAATAATAAAAAAAAAAAAAAAAAAAAAGTGAATTTTTAGTTTTTTTGTTGTTGTTGTAATTGGTGATGTTGATATGATATTTACAGCAAATAAGAAAGGAAAGGAGAAAAAAATATCAATCTGTATGTGTCTTGAGTAGGATGCAAAGAATAAAAACACGTTGTTCTTTATCTTTCGAAAGGATTTATTTAAATTTCTAGTCGATTAGGTGAATTTTCATAATTTAAAAATATATTAATAATGTTCGGTTAATGTTTTGATATAATTCAAATAGTTTCTTGATCAATAATAACAGCATTTCGTTTAAGAATAATCAATTGACACACTAAATTAACATCTATTATTTAATTTCAATACTTAAACTATTTTAGAAATGTAAAATTGTTATGCATTAATAAAAACTAATTTTCAACTAGGATATGTCATGTACGGATATTGAGGAGTTGCTGACAAAGATGAAGTTTATTCTTTTGCAAGAACTTTTGAAACTTTTTCTTTGGGTAACTCAGCTTAGTCTTATCTAGATGTACATACAACTGAACAGACCGATCATACTTTAAAAAAAGCCAAATTTCGATCAGCCTCAGTCAAAATTTTCATTTTCGTAATGTTTTTTATCTTAATCTGGCCTTTTCAGATGTGATCGACCTGCTCAGTTGCACGCACATCTAATAGATGAGATCAAGTTGAGTTTTTGAAAAAATATATTCTTGAACAAGATTTTAAAATTGACAAAATTTTTCAATATAATCAAAAGCAGTAAGTTAATGTTTCATTCAACTTGAACAACACGAATAACTTAAAAGCAAACATTTTATCATTTGATTATATAAATGTTATGATATTCTAAGCGCTTTTTTTATTTGTTACTATTTTTTTTTGTCTTCGGCTTAATATTTATCAATAATGTGTTACAAAGTTCAATGTCGAAAATGTAATAAATTTACATGGTCTGGTTAGTGAATGAAATTTATTGTTTGATATTTTATTGGTTAAGTAAATGCGTTAGGTTGTGGTATGCATAAAGATTCAATTTTGGCAACGATTTCTCTTGATCAACGTTGTACATGTCGATCGAACAAACAATCGTCTCAGTCACAATCTTATCAACAAACATCATCAAACTTGACTTATTTTAGTGGATCATCACGCTATTCATAGAAATAATCGGCAAAAACTCAATTGAGAATACAATTAAGTAAATAAATTAAGTCATCCGATTCTCAAACAATTTCAGTTGGACACAAAAGGATTTCATATAATACGTTGAAAATACATATGAATAAATACAGTTTGTCATTTTACCTTTCTCGTCTTTATTTATATCTAAAGCATCTATTTAAGTATGAATCGAGTTGACAAATGTATGAATAATTTTAAACGCCACTGTATATCAGAAAATAGTTAATTTTTTTAAATAAAAATCATCTTAATCAATATATTTTTCCGATTGATAATCTAAAAGAGAAGTATTTCTCGTTAACAAAATAGTATTTTTATACGTGTCGTTCAGTTAACAGAACTTAGAGGTAGAACTCTAAATATAATTTGGGTTTTTGTTACATTTATTGGCAACAGATTGAATTGAACGATATATTTTAGGATACTAGTTCACTTTAAACATTTATTACACTGATTAGTGTAATTTACACACATATAGCACTGTGTGAGAGTGAGGGTGTTGTGTTTAATATGTTTAAAGTGAACTAGTACCCGAAATTTCATAGACCAAAAAACAGCTTAAAGAAGACAAAATTCTGAATCAAGCTAGAAGTAACCACATTTTCTACGACCTTTTCTTAAAAAGTCATCAACATGATAAAAAATGAAAAGAGAAGAAATTTATCATAAGATTGTTAAAAATCAGGTGTTTTTGTTATACTGATAACATTTTAAGATGTCATTGGGAATATGGCGACCCGCAAAGGACAAAGGGACATAATTTCAGTATTTCAAAGTACGACACTTCGTTGTACTTCGAAATACTAAGGTCACATTTGTTTTTACCTCTTGGAAGTATTTAAACCGTTATTTCGATTTGATTTAAATATTTGATATCGTGAAAAAAACAATAAAAAAATATGTTGGTCTTATATTTTTGACGGCTAATATATATTTAATAACAATTCCCTTTAAAAATAAAGAAAAATAAATATTTATTTTTATTTTTTATCATTACAATGATCATTGATCGCAAAAATTAAAAATAGAAAGAAAAAACAATTATTACAAGAAAATAGAAAAAAAATACACACCGGAAATAAACAATTTTTATTTTTAACTATTCCGTTGATGAACTTTAGGATAAGATTGTGTACTTGTATTTCGTCGTGGTGGTAGTGGTGGCAGTGGATAATCGTTTCCATTGTCATTTGATGTTGTACGATAATAATTATTTTGTAATGAATCATCATATGTTGGTCGTCGTGTCCTAGCACGAGATCGATAACTGTGGTGATTAACAACTTGTGATGTTCTTGAATTTATTCGTTCTGGAAATGGTCTTTCCGTTTTTGAATTAGTATAAGAAGACACTTGATCAATATTTGAATGATTTATTCTTACACCTGTCGTCATAAAAGAATTAGTATAATCATGAGGGGTTGATGTTAGTGAACAATTTTTTAAATTTTCATATGTAGGTTGTGAATCTGGTGATACTAAATATAAAAAATTTTTTTTTTCGTTTATAAATATTTAACCTCAAACTCTCTCACCAACATATCTTTTACCAGTTTGTTTTAAATATTCTTCAACACAACGATATACCAATAAATATTGTTCCTAAAAAATAAAAACTTTCAATGTGTTTTTTCTTCTATTAGATTTCAATTTTCAAATTACTTTGGTTTGAACCATGCTAACTCTTTGTCGTCTTAATTGATATACAATAGCCATAACATCAAGTTCGAACGTTTTTAATTTATCAATAGGACGATCAAGTAGACGAACAATTGTATCTACTGTTATATAAGTACCTGTTCGACCAACACCCGCACTATGAAAAATAAAATCTTTATATTTAATCTTTTGCTTGATCATATTTAATATTTTTTTTTACCTGCAATGAACAACGATTGGTATTAATAATGAACTATTTGTTGTTTTATTATAAAGTAAAGATTGAGATGATCCATGTTTGTTTACTATATCAATAAGAGTAAGTAATTGTTTTGCTTCAACAACATTAAAATCCGGCCAGCCAGTATAATAATAATGAATAACATCATGTTTTACGCCAAACTTTAAATAAATTTTACTTGAATTAAAAAATAAAATTAAGAAAAAAGAAAACATTGTTTACTTGTCTTATAGATAAATAACGGATTTCCAAACTACTATGAGAATAATGTTCAATATCATTTAGTTTTATAACAATATCATCAAATTTGAATTGTTCACCTCTACGTTTTGGAAAATAAGGATAACATTTTGACTAAAATATACAAACAACTCTATTATAAACTTTTTTTTTTATAAAAATTTAAATGAAGAAACATAATGCGAAGTACTTTAAAAGAATTTCGGTCTACTCGATAGAAAATTTGTCAAAGTACTAATGTCCGCGCCAAAATAAAAGAGGGGTTAGTGTAAGCTCAATAACTCGACAACCGCAATACCTAGCTACCTGCGGTTTTCACCAATCGAAAGAGGAGGAGCGGGCACGTCTTTTTCTTCGATAATGTATAAGACGAAATTCTTTTAAAACTAATCATATTTGAAAAACAT